TCCTTGTGATCCTTCTGTAAAGGGATGTCCAATTGTCTACAGATGGGCTTTGGATCTCCACCCCGCGTCCCCACGTCCCACCCCCTACCCCCTGCCATCATTATTTCCTAAACAGCTCCTCTTTTTCCCCTCTCACCCTCGTGACCCCTTGATAAATTATAAATTATTATTGTTTTCATCTCTTAGACCAACCACTGCCTCCCTTCACCCACGTTTCTGTTGTTCATCCCCCTGGAGGGTGGGGATTATGCATCGATCATTGCGATTGGTTCCCCCTTCCTTCCCTCCTCCCCCCATCTTCTCCCTACCCTCCTGGTATCTCTACTCCCGTTTCTGTTCCTGAGAGTTTTATCTGACCTGGATTCCGTGTGTCGTGAGCTCTTATCTGTACCAGGGTACATGCTCCTCCTGTCTAGCCAGAACTGATAGGCAGACTAGGGTCATGATAGTGGGGGGTGAGGGAGCCTCAAAGAACTAGAGGATTATTGTGTGTTTCATTGGTGCTATTCTGCACCCGGGGTAACTCATCCCTTCCTTGTGACCCTTCTGTGAGGGGGTATTCATTGTCTACAGATGGATTTGGGGTCTCTGCTCCAACTACCCTGGTTCTCAACAATATGTTTTTTTGTTGTTGTTTGGGGTCTTCTGGTGCCTGTTACCTGATTCTGTCAACACCTCATGATCGCACAGGCTGATGTGCTTCTTCTGTGTGGGCTTGTTGCTTCTCTGCTAGATGGCTGCTTGTTTAACTTCTAGCCTTTAAGACCCCAGACGCTGTATCTCTTGATAGCCGGGCACCATCTGCTATCACATTTGCTTATGCACCCATTTTGTCTTCAGCGACCATGCTGTGAGGGTGAGCATCACAGAATGCCAGGTTGTTAGAACAAAGTGGTCTTGCATTGAGGGAGGGCTTGAGCAGAGGCCCAAAGTCCGTCCACTTCCTCACTGTATTGCCACGTAAACATATGTACCTGTGCCAATACCTCTATTTTTATGAATTAATGTATTTACCTATGTGCACACCTATGTTTATACCTCTATCCATAGCTTTTCTTCCTAGACCTTTCCTGTTTCCTTTTCCCTTCCTCCTGCACCACCATCACGCTCGCCCATCTCTGCCTCTTAGTAATTCCTCTCCGTGAGGTTGCTGTTTCTCCAGCACCCCAGGAGATCGACGTCCTCCCGGTTGTTCCCCTGTCTATGGTGTTGTTTGCTCCCTGCTCCCTCCCCCGCATTCCCTCCACCCCCAGATTGAACATGCTGCTGGAGCTAAACAGTCGCGTGAGGAGCCCAAGTGGCAGAGTGGTTACGCCCTGGCCTGCTGCTAGTCAGAGTCAGCAGTTCAAAACCACAAGCCACTCTGAGAGAAAGACAGGGCTTTCGATTCCCATCGAGGGACACTTTCGGAAACCCACAGGGGCACTTCCACCCTATCCTGTAGGGTCGCTGTGAGTCCATGCAGTGAATTTGGTTTGGTAGATGGTTGTTTAGCGTGACGATGGCTTCACAGGTAGTTTTGGTTCAAGATTTCAGGATTACTTTCGGACAATGGATTCAGAGGTTTCCCCCCAGTCTGGTTTCCGTTTTCCCTCTCATTCACTCCTCCTCTCTCTCCGCCCCTTCATTTCCTCTCACTCCCGCTCCCCAGTCCCCCACTCCTGCCTCTCCGGCGGCCGCACACCCACTGCTGCCGTGGCTGCCGGCTCACATTCTCTTTCCGCTTTTCCAGAGTTCTCCAAAGAGGACATGGCCAAGAGCCTGCTGCACATGATCAGCAACGACATCGGGCAGCTCGCCTGCCTCTACGCCAAGCTCCACCACCTGGACAGAGTCTACTTCGGCGGGTTCTTCATCCGGGGCCACCCCGTGACCATGCGCACCATCACCTACAGCATCAACTTCTTCTCCAAGGTAGCGAGACGGGCTCCTCTCCCTGGCGGGCCCCGGAGCTGTGGTACACTGGGCAGTGGTCCAGGTTGCCAGGGGAGAAGCCTACACCCACCTTGCCTGCCAGTCCCATCTGTCTGCCTTTCCTGGGGTGCTGCCCGGCCTCCCACCTTTCCGGGTGTCCTGGTCCCCTCAGGCCACAGCCTCGGGCTGATCCAGCTTGTGAGGCTTGTTGATAAGCTTCCTAGCCAGCCTGCAGCCCTCTGGGTCAGTAGGCAGAATGGGTTCTGGTGGGGTGTCCACCAGCAACAAGGTGCACCTGCAGGTCGGGGCAAGGGTCAGAATGACGTGGGTGCACAACGGGTGACGTGCGTCAGAATGGTGGGACGTCAACAGGAGCATGACTGGCTGTAGAATGGTGTGTGTCGATGGGCAGACCCAAGTGGTGTGTGTGCACACGGTGTGAGGGGGTGCAGCGCGGTGTGGACGGTGCTGTGTCTTGTACAGATGCCCCCACTCGAGGGAAACCCGTGGACACACTAGACAGATGGCACTGCTACTAGTCGCTCCCTGGAAGCAGTATTGCCTCCTGAAAAGCGCTCGGCCTCCGGTTTCTCTGAGCTGCTTGCTCCCCTCTGCCTGTCAATGCCCTTCACCCCCGAGCCCACACGCACACCCGCCGTGTGAGGCTGGCCAGCCTGTGGCTGATGGCCGGCTACATGTGTATTGTGGGCCCTGGCAGGGAGAAGTGCAGGCGTTGTTTCTGAGACACGAGGGCTACCTGGGGGCCATCGGCGCATTCCTGAGAGGAGCCGAGCAAGACAGTGAGTAGCGGGCCTCGGCCGCACCCCTGTAAGCAGCCTCTGCCATCCCCTGTGCGCAGCACCCTCCAAAGCCCTGTCCTCTACTGGGGACCGTGGGGATTTGTGGGGGTGGGCGAGAGACCAAGGCCCCAGGAAGTGGCGACGACGGATACTTTTAACACTGAGATACGGAAATACCTGCATTTATCTCCCCTGTCTCATGGGACACGTGCACACACACCCTCCTCCACTGGCCCGCTGTTGCTGGCTGCAGTGGAGGGACCCTTGAGCCCTGTCTGTGATCTGGCATGTTTCTGTAAACAGCCCCCAACCCAAGTGCTCCACCTCAGGGGCCGCCCAGCTCCTTTCTTGGGCTCAGCTCTGCGCCCTCTCCCTGGTTCCGCGATGCCTGAGGGGCTGCAGGGCGGTGTGCGGGACCACCTGCCTGGGTGCCCCTGCAGCCTGCCAGACCCCACATCCTCCTGGAAGCCACCCAAGGAGCTCTGTCCTGAGAAGCCCAGAGAGGCCTGTGGCTTCCTGAGGAGTTGGGTGGAGCAGGAAAATTAGGCATAGACGACAGCAGACAGAATCATATGCCCAGTGAGAAAGCCCAGCCTCCGCTGGCCAGCGGGGATCTTGGTGGCGGGGAGGGCTGTCCTGGGGTCCGTGGTGGGTTCTGACGGCCCTGTGGTATTGCCCAAGCTGATGTTGACTTGGTTTCTCTCTTGGCCAGATCCCAACCAGTACAGCTGGGGTGAGAACTATGCGGGCAGCTCTGGCCTGATGAGCTCATCCCCGGAGCTCTGCCCGGCGCAGCGGGCGCGCAGTGGGACCGTGAGTAAGGGCCCCGGGTGCCTCCCACCTGCTCCTGAGAGAAGCCCCACACCACTACAGCCAGGCTAATGGTGCTCTTAGAAAGTCGAGTCCAGGGGGGCAGTGTCAGTCTGAGGGAAGGGTAAGACCCCAGCCCGTGCACACCGACTCTTGGGTTCTGCAGAACCTGGAGCCCCTCAATGCAGCCCCCCGCAGGTCCAGAGAAGCAGAAGCGCAGGGAGGCCTGGGGCCCCCCAAGCTGGGTGACTCGGGAGCACTGAGCCAGGGTCTAAAGACATCCCAGGCATCCGAGCCAGGGCTTCTGCGCCCTGTTCACCAGAGGCAGCAGCATGCAGCGCTGGCCCCCAGGAAGCTTCTGCCGTGGGCCTGGACCCTCCGGAAGTCAGGCCGCCCCCTAAGGAGCTCATGCCCCAGCCCACACCAGCTGTGGGGCCGAGCTGAGTGCTGGCGAGTGGCAGCCCACTGGGGAGTTGGGGTGCTCTGCTCTTGGGCACCCAGGGTCAAGGTGCCATGTGCACATCTTGGTACTCAAGGCTGGGCTTTTGGGAGGGTAGGGGCGGGTGACATTGGCGCCGGGGCAGCCTAGCCCTGTGTTGTGTTGATGACTCCAAGGGTGGCTGGTTTGTGCTGGGGTCAGAAGAGTGAATGTCCGGGCTGACAGCATGCAGGAGCCGAGGGAGTCCAGAGGGCAGGTTGGGAGAACCGATAGAGGTGGGGCCAGGAGAAGGGAGCCTGAGGGCAGGGACCCCCCCAAGATGTGTGCCGGGCCAGGGCTCACTGCCCAAGCTGGGATGGGAGCAGTCAGCAGGAGCAGCTCCTGGACCACAGGCTCACAGGCCTCAGTGGGAAGACGGTGGAAGTGGAAGGTCTGGGGTCTCAGCTGTGGTGGGGACTGGAGGCCACTGGGAGGTGGTCTGGCAGTGAGCAGTGGTGATGGTGGTGTAGGAGAAGGGGGCTGGAGCGGCCCTGCCTGTGCTGGTGAATGACCAGTCCTGGGTGTTTGGCCTGGGCACTGCCCGAGAGGAGGAAGCCACAGGTGTAGAGAAAGGGGCAGAATGAGCTTGAAGGGAGGAGATGTCCCAGAGGGGCCTGTGGGTGATGGGGGTCATATTGTACCCTAGGGAGGTAGAGAAAAGTGCTGTCTGCTCACTGGGCAGAGCTTCCGTTTGACCTCGCCCCTTCTCACAAGGGTTCAGAGACTGAAACTCACAGCCCCAGAGTCCATGCTGACTTACCTCGAGTCTACAGGGCAGGGTCCACCTGCCCCTGCATTTCCGAGACTAAATGCAATGCCTCATGGGAGTAGAAAACCTCGTCTTTCTCTCTCAGAGTGCCTGGTGGTTTTGATCTGCCGACCAGAGCTGCTTTGAAATGCTTAGAACAGGCGAATGCAGGGGGCTGCTTCCCGGGAGCCGGGGCAATGGCCCCGGGAGTCATTGCTGCAGCGAGGCAGCTGTGGGAACAGGTGAAGGTGATGGCCGCACAGCTTGGGCAGCGTCACGGGCGCTGTGCATGTGCCACCGTGGCGGAGGAGAAGAGAAGAGCATGCAGCGCTGGTGGAGACATGTCACCACCCTCTTGGTCCCCTCTCTGTGCTAGTTCGACCTGCTGGAGATGGACCGACTGGCCCGGCCGCTGGTGGATCTGCCCCTCCTCCTGGACCCATCCTCCTACGTCCCCGACACAGTGGACCTGACCCAGGACCCCCAGGCGCGCAAGTACTGGCTCGACTGCTTCGAGGAGGCGCTCGATGGGGTGAGGGCCTTGGTTGGAGGGCTAGATCCCGGCGAAAAGTGTGTGGGGAAAATGCTGTCCACACACCAGCCCCCAACCCCCGGCATGTCCCCCCCAAGACAGCTGGCCACCTCCGTCATCATGCTGCGCTCCCTGCATGCCCTGCGGTGGTGTGTGTTTACGGCCTGGCTTACGTTTCTCAGGGACATGTGGCTTCAGGGGCCTCTGAGTCAGCAGGGCAGTCCGTGGCCCTCAGGCTCACGTCTCGTCAACACTCAGGCTGCTCACGTAGGACACTTCTCCCCAAGCGTCGGTCATCCGGCAGCTTTCAACACTGGGGGCTGTTGGGCCCAGGCCCCCTCCACCCCAACGGGCATGGCCCGCGCAGTCTGGCCCGGCCTCTGCTTGCTCTTGTGAGGTTGGGGCCAGGTCCGTGGGTACCTTCGGGGCCGCTTCCTGAACTTAGGGCCACCTGTGGGCTGCCAGATCCTGTGACGGGTACCTGTTCCTTCCCAGAGCCCTTGGCTTCTCCCCAGTCTGCATCCTGGGCAGTGCTGACCTTTCCTGAGCCCTGGGGGTGCTGGATTCAGCTGGCCAGAGCCAGTCCTCCTCAGCCGGCTGCAGAGGCTCTGGGTCTCACTGCTCTCGGGAAGAAGAGTGATCTGCTCTCTGTCCTCCTCTTCCGGCCCGAGGCCCCGAGGCGGAGAAGTCCCCTGTGGAGCTGGATAGATGGGCTCATGCCCTCGGTCCGTGCTGGGCTACTGACCTCCCCACTCCCACCCCCATTCATGGCCCTATAATGTGTCCACCCCTCTTGGAGAGGTCCCTGCTGTTCCCTGCCAGGTGCTGGCTGGGCCCCCACTGACCGGTGCCCTTGCCAGGTGGTGAAACGGGCCGTGGCCAGCCAGCCGGATTCCATCGACGCTGCCGAGAGGGCTGAGAAGTTCCGGCAGAAGTACTGGAACAAGCTTCAGACTCTGCGCCACCAGCCCTTGTGAGTCACCCTACCTGCTGGGTCAGGGCCAGAGGCACCCAATCTTCCCGAGCTGTGCGCTGCACAGTGACCCTCAGTGACTGCTGTCCCCATGGTCAAGTCTGCTGCTGGCCTAGAACTCTAGGCCTATGTTGGGAGGGGGAGGGGCATCCAGGAGCCAGGCTCTGCCAAGAATGTGTCCCTGAAGGTGATCTGCTGGCTCACGCACCCACACCCACTGCTAGGTTCTGCCAGGGACACTCCGTGGCTGCCTGAAGCTGTGGCCACCCTCTGCCCTCCCAGTTCAGGCACCGAGTGGTGAGGGGTGGGCAGAGGGCAGGCTGTCCTGGTTTTCAGGCCACAGGCGTCCGTGCCCGCTGATGTCCTGGGCGCATGCAGCCCTGGTACAGCCACTTGTGTTCTCTGGTGTGTCCTCCACAGCGCCTACGGGACCCTGACCGTGCGCAGCCTGCTGGACACGCGGGAACACTGTCTGAATGAGTTCAGCTTCCCCGACCCCTACTCAAAAGTGAG